GATTTCGTCTGCACTCTGCAAACGACGAACCACGTGCGACCTTCGCAATTCTGTTTCTACTACAGCAGCCCAGTCCTCATTGTCGGACATGTTTGGGCTTGGGCAGCTGGATGATCAGCGCAGTAATAATGCGAAATCGATTGTTAGCTCACTTGCACGTGAGTTCTGATTTATTTCTGATTTCTTTCTAATGTTAGCACGAGCACGATTTGATTTCTGATTTTGAATTCTGATTTACTCTGATTTCCTTCCAATATTGTCCTATAGTCCGTCATCCTCAGTTTGACAGACATTGGAAGTCACAAGTCTATGCGAATGTAGCAGTTCCTCATGTGACACGTGATGTTATCTCACGGTTGTTCAACTCAGGTCGGGCTTGTGGATCTTCGTCTTCCTTTTCTACATGAGTTTCACGTACTTCGCGGCACCGCGGCTTTTGCCACACTTGTTTGCGCACATGGCAAGCGCACTGAAGCAGACAAGCCTTTCATGGCATATGGCATGCTGATCACGGTGGACACCTCTAGGAAAGCCGAGGTATTGAACGTCGTCACAGGACGGACGACGTTCTTTTTCTACTTAGTGCAAGCCGGCTACGTGGTGCGTGTGCATCTGTGCGTGTTGTCCAGGTCTGAGGGGTGGCTGATCGGAAGTCCTGTAGGGTTCAGTATCTTGCTGTCAGTCAGGCTTGGCTAGTGAATGTATTTAATGTAGCGTAGCCCGAACTTGCGGGAGTGCAGGAGTCTTCTGCCACTCTGCGATTGAATCTGCGCAGAACGACCATGCAGCCGTTGTGCAGAGCATTCTTGAGAACAAGGACTCCGAATACATGCATTTTGGGTTTGTGGGGCTTGGCCGTTCCCGCATCCAGACGAAAGGAGTGCTTCAGATGCGCCCTGCGCTAAGGAACGTAGGCAGAGCCTCTCGATTGCTTGGGCGCAGCATCGTTTTTATGAGTTGACGTAGAGACACTCCACGGGCAGGACTCTTGGCTTCGGGAATCATAATCATAGATACGATTTGGTGTTTGAATTGTTTGGCATCATGGGTCTTGATCTTCTCCGTGTTTACTGGCTCTGAGCTGTGAGCATAAACGATACTGTGATCCAAAGCAACACGAGGTGTCTGTTCTTCCGAATCAGATTGTCCAAATGCCGCGGCAGGAAACTCATATGAGAAAGCTTCGCCAGCTTTTCAGCAAGTTCAATGCGGATACCGGTAGCGACGAGCTTGAGGCCATCATCACATTTCCTATGTTTGAGGCGGGCAGGGTTCACTCGAAGTTCATGACTGTTTCAGGCGCAGCTTCGTCCTGATGAGTTGGGCAAAAGCTAGTGTGTGCTGCCACATCATCTTTCATGCATGGTTAAGTTTCACTTCGGGGCTGTGTACACAATTACTGTCAGTTCAGGAGAAGATTAACACGCCGGCGGTGCGAGAATACTTCGAGAGTCTGAACTTGGATTCTTGCCTGCTCTCAAGCCCGGATTGCCTTGGGGGCTCTTGAATACTGCAGAGGACCCCAGGCATTGAGGGACAGGTTGGATACATTGGTGCGCTTGGTAAGCCGACTGCAGAAGCTGCATGGATAGCAAGGTTGCGAGTGACATACTGCAGTCAGCACACTGTGACCCTTCAAGAGACATGAAAGCTTTCAGCACTGCATCCTGGATCTTACTGGCCATTTTCGTTCGATATTTCTGGAATGCCCCTTTTCCATTCCTGATATTTACAACATGACAATTTCGATTGTCTGAAAGATAGGGGTTCTGACTTCGCCAGGGCATTTGCGACACCTCCAGCACGTTGATGTTGCTAGCAGCAGGATTCGTCATAGGGGTGGTGCATATGCCTGGAGTCAGCTGGACAGTCTAAGACGCCGGTAATTGAAAGCTGGACACGTGGAGGTGAAGTAAGGAATTCAATCTAGCTTCAGCTTGTGGCGACGTCGTCATACGTCCTCGACGATGCAGATCACAGATCACGGCTTGTGCCAAAACATGGACCATCGCTACACCACCCCAGATCAAAAGAAGGAACGTCTCTTCGCGCCTCATACACAAAGCCGGTCCCTAACAGAACAGACACTGTTATGACAGACCAGCGCCAGCTCCATACATGCACTCGTTCGGGCTTGGGCCCAGGAGCGGAAGAAAACCTGTGCGCCTTCGGCCGCCTTGCCCCTCACCTTGCGCCCCTCCCAGGCCACGTACCTCGCTCAACCCCCCACCGATCCCGTTCAGCCACCACCCCTACCTCTTGACACCCCTCCGCTTCCACCCCCATCCTTTGGCCGCATCAACCTCGACTGCCCACATCTCTCTCCCCGACGCCGCCCTCACCATCTCGCCCCCCCGTTACCGCTCCCAAGCAAATTTTTCCCCACCATCTCACCTCCTCCTCGGGAGCCTCCCAACCGGCCAAAGTCGCAAGGAAAAGGCCTTACCGGAAGACCTGGAACCCTAAACATCCACCTGGGGCCGGGGCGGAAACGGCAAAGTGAACACTTGTCACACAGTGATGCCCCTGGTATATTGAACAAACTTGGAATTGGTGAAAGACTGCTGGAATTCGCAGAGCGCAGCCGAGAACTCTACACCCCTGTGTCTATGTCGCATAATGACCATCCCTGCAGAGCGGCGTGACAATCAAAGCTTAGAGCCCCAGGCCGGACATGTAGTAGTAGTAGTAGTAGTAGTAGTAGTAGTAGTAGCAGCAGCAGCAGCCGCAGTCGCAGTCGCAGCTTCTACTTTTACAACTATGTTCACTACTGCAATGCACCAAAAGACTGTTCCACACATGCTGCAAGAAACAGAAGAAGAGCGAGATACGCGAGAGTCGCGAGAGCACTAACTAAGCCAACCCGTGCCAGCAGCGGCGGCGTCTCCACCAACAGCAAAGACACTTACAAGGACGATGCCAGCAACAGCGCCAACAACGAAAGCAAGGAGGCGCAAGAGAGAAACGGCTACATCAAGCAAAAGCCGGCTGAGGACGTTTGGGATGCATGGTCATTCTTCAAACTCCTGGACCTGGACCAGGGTGGTGCGGTTTCTGTGGATGAGTTCTTGATGGGGTGCCTGCGATTCCGGGGAGCTGCTCGTGCTATGGATGTGTGTCGTCCGCACTAGTCATCTCAACTCCACACATTGATGGCCTGAACCCTGTTGAGTGCTTGGGTTGGACTAGAGCTGGCAAGCCAGGTCGGCAAGCTGCTCCACGACCAGAATTGGCTTATCAAGGCGCAGAGCCGTTTCCAAGGGCATGCGGAGGCGGGCCGACTCATCTTGGGCGGGTTTCCAGCACGAGGGCCGCACCGAAGGTTTCTAGGAACGTGTCAGTGCAAGTCTCGGTATTGCAACGTCTGCGCAGTTAGCCAGTTAGCGTCAGCACTGATTGTGAAGCTGGCCGTGGCAATCTCACAGAGCCTGTGTCAGTCATGGGTATCATCATGGGCAGGTGGAGTTTCAAGAACTGAAGATGCAGATGAACTTGCTGATCGATGCCCTGCAGGGAGAATCTTGGCAGATATGAAAACAAAGGCCCAGGTTGTGTTCAGGAACTCCTTGGCACAGAGCCCTAAGATGTAGAAGCTCTAAACCCATTCAGCAACCCATCTGCCACCGAGGAGGGCGCCGAGCATGTTCGTCGCCCGTCAACGGGTTCTGTACGCTCCAACGTCAGTGTCACGTCTTTGCAAATTCCCACTTAGGGAGCAGTGAGGTGGTTGCCGCATCCTGCGGCAGAATTCTTTTCCGGATGTTCATTGAAGTTCGGTGCCCTGGCAAAGCCAGAGAGTCCACGTGCATCCAGCGCGGTAAGTCTGAGCCGTGCTCCCCGAGAAATACAGACAAATGTTGCAATTGCAACGGCAACATCGTGCACGCACGAAAAAAAAGAGCAGGAATGGTACGGTGCCCTGATACCGTTCGCAATGTGTTTCGCGATTCTGCCCGCCAACCTTTCATCGTGGCGTATAGCCAGTATTTTGCAAGATCGACAGGATTCGGAAATGTCACTCGCCTCGGCTACGCAGTTGTGCTTCTGCCAGGCACGGCTCATGGAGTTCTTTGCGGTCACACGAAAAGGCGTCCAGCTGTGAGCCCCCTTTGTTTCCATGGTTTGGGAATCAGATTTATGGAGTAGGTTCGATGGAATTGAGGCTCCTGCCTTGCAGGACAGCGATTCGGTAGTCATGTTCTCTTGCAGATCCTGCCTTCACATCTTCCTGAGACAAGTATAACAACAAATAAATACTCGCTCCGGCTCGACATCAGCTTTTTGTCTGCATGCTTGGGTCTAGACTGTTCTTTTCAGCACGACGCCGAGTAAGTCTATCCACCGACCAGCACTGCCCAGCCCTGCAGCCCGAGCTGAAGATTCCATTGCCCACGTTGCAGAATTGGCTTCCTTTCAGGATTGACCTGACATCCGCAGCACTCCTTGACTGACATGTTGTAGCATTGTAGCACAGACAGTGGTAGCAGGCCTGGAATCGCTTCCGTGTGAAGCCATGGGACCTTTCCCCGATCCGCCGCCAAAGGTGCGGAACTTTGTAAGCAGGTCGCATGAGGGCATGCGCGAGCGGGTTGTCGTTCTGTGTTTGCCACTGCACGACGGGATGAGAATTTGAGCAAAAACAAACCTGGAGAATTCAGCTTGAGCCACCGTCGATCTGTAAGCCTGCCGTGCCGCGCAGGTGCCGGATGTCCCTCCGCCGTGGTCCACCCCCACGACGCCGCCTGTTCAGCCTACCCCTACTGCAAGGCCTGCAGTGGTGATGTCCTATCAAAGGTGTCATCTCCCGCTCTGTCCGTTCATCTGCACCCACGACCTCAGGGCACCGTCTCCACAACGGAGACCAGATCCTGTCGGCGCCAGCGCCTGGTCAACGTGCCACCATGGGCACAGCTTCGAGCTGCGAGCTTGGGTTTGTGCTACAGACTTCTGCAGGTATCAGCCAAATGTGGCAGCAGCGCCGTTCGAGCCGCGTCTGGGAAGGTGGGCGATGAAGAGTCTCATATTTGTGAGTTTCATTGAAGGTAGCGGTGTTCCTCGAGATATTGTCACTCGCTGACTAATGCATGCCGAGCACGTGTCGAAGTGGGCTTTGTCGGGGTGAAAGGAAGTGTTGGAGTCGCTAGCATTGTGCTCCGATTGTTCCATCGATGCTTCGAGGTCGCAGTCTTATGCAGACCGAGGCCGGCAACCCGATCTGTTCTCGCATGCCCTCCCTTCCTGTGCATTTGCTGACATCCTGACCTGGTAGATTCAGCAAGAAGCCGCAAGCTGGTTGCAATCTCTGAAGCAGCCGTTCCCAACGGATCGAAGGCAATTTCGCCCGTCGTGAGGCCTCAGCCGCTCGGTCGAAACTGTTTTCCTACATTAAATCGTATGAGCTGGCAGATGACAAGCACCTTGCCAGGAAGTTGCCGTGGTTGGTCTTACCGCACAGTCGGTCCAAACAGAACAAAGCTGCGTTATGCCAAGGTGCCGGCCACATTTAGACACATCCCTTGCTACTTGCATGCAATCGTGCCTTCATGGTGCGACAGACGGGCCTTTGGGCTGGTGAAGTGGGGTACGGTCGGTGAAGCGAAGCAATTTAAGCGGCGGATGGTTCAGGTCATTTGGAGGAAGCCGTGAGTGAAATGCTTCCCGATTTGCACCTGGACTGCAATGATATAAGGAATATAAGGTGTACAGTACAAACTTCGCATGGGACATTAGAACTTCAGTGCAGACGCGAAAATCACAAACGCTGGTTTGTTCAGGAGCTTGTAGAACTTGGCATCAGGGTCTGATAGAGCAACGGGTAAGGGCATGTGCCGGAGGGAGGCTCCCTGAGGGATGCAAGCAGCCAATTTTAGCTGTCGCGTTGTCTTTTTGGAGGTTGGCACTCCGCAAATTCGGTTTACTTCAGCCGGCTCTGGGTCGTGTTGGCAGTGCTAGGCTCGTGCAAGAGAGAGACGCAGTTGATTGAGCCTGCACCGTCAACTTCGCAAGGAAATATCCAAGACACGATGGAACCTGGGATGGCCTTTTCGTGGACTGCACCTTCGGAAGAGGCCTTCCAACTGCATAGCCGGTGTTCAGTTGCTTTTGAAATACCCCTCTCCCGCAGAACTTGTTAGCTCTCATGCCGAAGATCTCTGTCTCGGCGCGTCTCTGTGGTCGAATCGCGTTTCTCAACCCAAGGCGGCCCTTGAAGAGTTGAAAAGTCACAAGCGCGTTGGCGTATTGGCGTAGGCCCGAAACCGTTCCAGGACTCGGACTCGACTCGGCGCATGACAGGAAGAATTGAAACCTGAAGGGCAAGGACGCGCGGAGTCGTCTCTCGCTGCCTTGACTCCTGTCGCCCTTTGACAAGATTCTGCTTGATGAGCCGGGTTTTAGGTTGGTTAGTCTGTGACAGGCTGAATTGGCGAGTGCGCGAGAGAGAGAGAGAGAGTGTGTGTGTAGGGGGGCAACCCTCTACACCCTACGTAGCCCTGGCGAAAGAAAGAAAGAGAGAGTGAGTGCAGCCAGGGGGCCTAACACGCTCCTTTGCCCCTGTGGAACAAGAGAGAGTGAGTGACAGAGAGAGTGTGTGAGCACAAGAACACCGGAAGATTAAGCGTCGCAGCGTGAAAACTAGGATTGACAAGTCGCGCCTCGCTGCGGGATGTGCATGAAGACTTCAGACTCTATCATGCCAGAGCACCTCATTCACAACATATCCCACGGCATATTCGCACGGCCGATTGCGATTTTCGGGAGTTGCTGCCATCAGTGAACTGAAAGTAAATCTCGACCCGGCAACGTTCCGTTGTCCTCTCCTTGTGCTTGCACATGGGGGGATAACCGCGCCTACTTTTAGCTTGTTCAGGGGGGGTTGGGGGGTGATGACATTTTCTGTTGCAAGATTCCGTACCATTGTCTTCCCGTTGCTGCTCTTCATGGTCGTGTGCATGTAGTTGAGGTCGAATCTACTGCGCCTGCTACACGAAACAGGCTTCGTCTTGCAAAAGTTGACAGCATGCTCATACCATCCCATCCATCTCATATCATCTCAGATCATCGCATACCATGCTGTGCCATCTCATATCATCTCATCTCATATCACACAAGGCTTGCTTCAGTAGATTCTCAATCCAGTGTTGAACTCTGTTTCGTGTTTTTCAGGCGTGGGATTTCCGGTATGTTCGCCAGTGCTACTTTCAATTTCCTAATTCCCGCGCAAGAACCTCACCACGCCGAAAACAGCGACCAGCGTGTCCAAAGTTTTAAGCATTTCCAAACTGTACACACAAAAACATGCTGTCAAGTTTTGCAAGAAGAAGCCTTTTTCGTGTGGCAGGCGCAGTAGATTCGACATAAACATCTGTTTTGAAAGGCGCAATCGTCCCCCATGAGGTTGTGCTTGAACACGAGAGAGGCAGACACCCAGCAACACTGATGCAGGGGGACACACCCGCAAGATCTTGGAACGGTTGTCGCCTTCTGCGAAGCTGATCGCCTTTGATGTAGTGTCTCGGCTGCTGCATGGTGAACAAAGGCAATGTGCAGTTGATCTTGCACAGCCATGCTGCAAAGGATCCGGAGGCAGTCAAAGAAGCCCGCAAGCTTGAGCAGCAGGAATCTGCTGCTGCACCGGGTCTCCACCTTGCGGGTATTCCTTCGGTTTCCTGGTACCCTCCGCAGCCACCGTTCCATCATCGTCCGTCATCAAGATGCACACTAAAGGTCCAGTAGTGTGAAACCAGGGCCACAGTAATTGCTGCCTCATGGCGATTGTGCAGCATCACAGCCTGCCAGGATCCAAGATTTCACATAGCGCACCGCCCTTTTTCGGAGCTGCGCCAGGCTCGCGGGTCATTCGGGATTCGAGGTTCGCACTATCTCCCGATGTGCGTCGGGGAGCAGCCATGTCCTGTTGCACCAAGTGAAATCTCAAACTAATTGCTGATGGCCAGCTTGCGGAACACACCCCGTACACAGGAACTTGCGGGCCGCCAGATTGCCACGCGGCCGGAAAGCTCTCGGGATCCAGAGGTGCTTTTTTCACAGTTGTGTGCCCAGTCCCGTGTAGAAGTCTCGAAACGTGCCCGATAATGGGAGACTTCGATTTCGGTGTTCAATCTGTCGCAAGAAGAGGCAGAGACTCATGCGCCCAAGGATGGGATCATGATGGATCTCGGCGTGTCAAGCCCGCAGCTTGACGACCGAGCCCGCGGATTCAGTGTTACCCAGGAGCTTTGGAGGGGGTGGCCGTGACTCCGTAGGATCTCCACAAGCTTGCAAGGCCTAGTCGGCCCGAGTAGACCGTAACTACAGGCTGCTGTACATCTCCGGAGCCAAACGGCAGCTCAGCATGCGCGGTCAGGATGCCGACTTGGACCTCCGGATGAACCAGGACCTTCTGCTTGCTGAGCACTCGAGCGACTGGCGAAGCTTAGCAGGCTTTCTTGAACTGGTCATTGCGAGAGCTCCCGGCGTCCTCATAGGACGTGGGAATCCCGGCCTGGCAATGGCTCAGGCAGACATCCATGGAGGCACCTGGAGTTCAAAACCTGTAGCCAGCCTTCAAACACCGCGTTCAGGTTGCGATTTCCGGCACGAGACGTGTTTCTCATGATCTCGAGCATCTGTTTCAGGAGATCGCATGGGTCATCCGCGAATATGGTGAAGACGGCGATCCCATCATTAGCGATCGGATTGCCTATGCCATCAAAACAAGGCAAGGTGCTGGAATGACCTACGAGCTTTGACGTGTGGACCTTTGCGCCAGGCTCGCTAGTGGACTGGAAGTGCGGACAACAAGGCACCTCGCTGATCTGGTTCGCAAGGTCAAGACGCCAAGCTGCAATAGTCTTGGACTCTTAGGGCCCAGGGCCCAGGGTCGCATCGCGCACCGGTTGCAGACATTTGCGCGGCCTTCAGAGAGAGAACATCGAAGCAAATTGAAAGCGCGAGGAATAACTGGGATGACCGCGGCCAGCATCCGGTCCCTGTGCCGGTTAGATGCTGTCACACATCCATCTCGCAAGTAATGCAGATCTTGCAGAGTATCCACTCTTCCAGGCGAAGCTGACTTTCCAGGCTATCCGCGTTCACCTGAATCAGGTGCCTTGGCGGCTTGGGAGCGCTGTTTGGCCCCAGCCCAGCCTTGGGCTCGAAATGCAAATCCCTGCCAAGGAGATGCAGCAGCTTGATGAGGTGCTCAGTGCAGCCATGGAGAGGCCACTCTGCAATTAGTACATGTGGGTGGAGTTGGGACTGTCCCCTTTTTCCGAGTTTGGTTGATGGCGGCAAGTGCGCCATCATAGTCTTCAAGAAGAAGGAGACCGATGCTGTCGTGAATCTTGTCGGCACTAGCTTTCGCTGCATTTCAGACTCCACCGTCCCGGACGGCATGTGCAGCAGACTTTGTCACTGGCTCGCTCGCGCTGAGATCCTTCGTGCGGCATCATGAAGAGCCCTACCAAACGAATGGCTATTTGGATGGCTTGAGTAGGTCCCGAATGCTGGAGTGACTCGGCAAACCTTGGTCTCCGGTACTGCTGTAGTCACCGTAGTCTTTGTCCACGAGGCTTTTCCCCGGCATGGCAAGCGACAAAAAGTGGTGCGTGGAAATCACGCGAGACGCTATGAAGCCGCGTGAGGTAGATCGTCAGGATTGCTGGTTGTTGCAGCGGTTGCAAACAGATTCCATTCAGACGTTCAGACCAAGATACCTTTTGAAGGCTTCACTTCAGCACAGACTGCAACAACTCTGTTCGCAGGAGAATCCACGCACAAGGTCTGCAGTGGTTCTTACCCTCCGGAAGCGAACCAGGCTCCCCATCCCAGTGTTTTGAGCTTTGTAACACTCTGCCTTGCATGCATTCAGCTGCCAGGGTCTGTATCCAAATCGAAGGCGTCTCGACTCGTCCAAACTCTGCCTCTCGCTGAAAGTTTGGAGATAGTCTTGCGCACACTTCGTTTTGCTCGAACTAGTGTTTATAGAAGTCGGAATCAGGAGCGATTCAAGAAGCCTACGCAAAAGCCAATCTTTGCAGGGACCGTGTCTTGGCCAAATGTCATGTCCCCCTTGTCTTGGCAATTCTCGCACTGCAACGCAGTGATTGCTCTTCGTGAGTTGCCGACAAGTGTCCCTGCAGCATTAACTTGAAGCCAAATAGAGGTTTGGCACGCTTGCTGATGTGATACTGCGACCAAGGACAGCTATGTCAGCAACGGCGTAGGGCACTCTCCCAAGGCCATCGCTTGCGGCAGCGTACTGTATCAGTTCGAGCACGCACAGTGCATGTCCAATTATAACGCATCACATGGAGAAACTTCTTGTGGGTCGGATGTCGGCGCTGACCAGCAAGGATCGGCACACCGAACGAAGCTAGACAACGGGGTCATACGGTCAGACTGTCATACTGTCATACTCAAACTGCACAACAATGTTGATTCGCCAGGGTTCTGGATGTTTTTCTAGAGAAGACCGCTTGATCTTCCACATAGAAAGTACGGCAGCGCCCACGACGGAGCTTCTTGACAGATGGTCTCCAGCAGCTGCCAAGTCCTCGAGTTATTTGCATCGATTTGCTTTGGCCTTGGGCCGGCTTGGCGACATCCCTGAAACGAATTCTTGAGAGAGCTCATGGTAATTGCAAAACTCCAGCAGAAAGATTTGTGGTTGTATGCTGGCCGCAACAGCCAACAACCTGGCCGTTGTTTTTCGAAGGCGAGAATTGAACCCCGGCGTCTCCGTCTGATGTCTGAGTGGCAGGAAGATGTGCCGCCACCGACCGGCGACTGGCTTCAACCCGAGCAAGGCGTTTCACAGAGGGTTTGCACAGGATGCCCCCCCTCCTTCACCAGCAGCTAGTGCCAGTGCGGATTGTGCTTACTGAGATAAGAACTCATCGGTGATACTGCCAGAGCCCGTTGTTCTGACCTAAACCCTGAAACCCAAACCCCAAGCCGTGACGCTGATGGTTCGGTCTGCTTCGCCTCAGCCATCATGGCGTTCAGACTGCAGTGAGCTTTGAGAGGAAAAGAGGCGCTTACAAAAACCGTAAGCTGTGCTGGGGCTGTGACAGGCTCCCGTACTCCGCCTGCCGCAAAAGCATCAGCGCGGCCCCAAGCAACCAGTTACCAGGACGATCGGCAAACATGATTCTGCATGTGACAGCCTGCTAAATGTCTGAAGGGTAGACCCTCGTGGGCATTGTTTGAGGCCTTCCCTCCCGCTCGCTCTGCAGGTCACGAGGCATCAGCACCATTTCTTGCCGTGTAGCTTGTGAGAAGGCATCACATCTACTGCCGCTGCTGCTGCTGCTGCTGCTGCTGCTGCTGCTGCTGGTACGTAGTACTACCGCCACAGCTGTTGCTACTGCTACTGCCACTACTGCTGCTCCTGCTCCTGCTCCCGCCGCTCCCGCTCTCGCTCCTGCTCCCGCTGCGGCTGCTGCTCCTGCTACTGCTACTGCTGCTATTGCTGCTGCTGCTGCTACTGCTACTCTACTCCTGCTCCTACACCGACTACTACTCCTATTATACCACTGCTACCCTCCTCCTCCTCCTCCTCCTCGTCCTCCTCCTCCTCCCCCTCCTCGCCTCCTTCTCCTCCTCCACCTCCACCTCAACCACCTCCTCCTCCTTCGACTTCTACTACTCCTAGTGTTACTTCCGCAAGCGTTGCTGCTGCTGCTGCTGCCGCTGCTGCTGCTATCACTACTTGTCCTCATGCTCGTCGTCGTCGTCGTGATGGTTGTGGCATTGGGGTTGGTTAGTCGTCCTCGCCCGCGGCGCATGCAACTGCAATCTTGTACTGACCGGCGATGCCAACGGGGTTTCGTTTTTATTGAAAGGCCGGCGTCAATGGCACAAGAGTCTCCACCTTTCCAGGCTCGGTGGAATGTGGCTCCCAGTATTTGGGAGATCGGCGGTGATGTTGACTGCTGGATCTGACATGCTTTTCTGAAGTGTCGTAGCAGTAGCAGATGTACCAATGCTATCATACCAATGCTATCATAGTCACAGGTACACCCAGTGGTGCCACCAACACATCAGAATGAGCTATCGAGACGGTAGCAAGAGACTGTAAGTTGCAGACCTCGAAAGGACCAGCAGCTGCGGCGCCCTGTGGCAGCGAGCAGCGGCCTCACCTGGCAGTGTCGGACGTGTTTAGTGCATGAGGTGCATGTCTAGACGTGTTTAGACAGCTTTCGGTGCATGAGCGCGCCTCGTCCATGATCCGAGAGGACATTATACCTTGCCAGTATTCGCGACGTGCTCCAGTCCAACCAACCGCCATGTGTACGTCAATGATGAGCTTCGAGAACAGCCGCATCATGAGAGCCACACCATCTTGACGACCAACATTGCCACTGCTGCCGCTGCTGCGGTGACATTCATGCTTTCACCATCTTTTCAAAGGTTGGCATGTTAGCAGAGTGAGCCGTCCTGGGCTGGACTGTACTGGCTTTGGCCGTAGCTGTGCTGAGGCCAAGGAATGTCGCTGAAAGGCCACCAAGCAAGGCTGTTTCTGGGGTGAAAGGTAGCCTCTGGAGGATCATTATTTTGATTGTTCTCTTGGCGTCTTGCTTTGTTCCGTCATGATCTCCCGCGCTGGCAGTTCCCACCAGTGGCGAGTGTCACTCAAGCGCAGGCATCCCGGCCATGTTTGCTCCGAATGCTTCGTGTCGTGTTGCGACCGTGCTGGAACTTTCCGCTCGAAGCGGCCTATGCGCAAACAGCAGATTGTGCTGAGCGCATAGGAACAGAAACGCTTCGCACCTTGCTTTGGGATGGTCCCTTTGAGCACGTGTGGCGTAATCCTTGGTAGGACACTGACAGGACTCGTACAAACCACTGACGTCCCGCAGCACCCGGCTCACCAAATGTGTCACCATGATTTATTGCGAGGATATATGATCATTCATCCAGACCCGGGGCATACGCAGTTGGTCTGTTGGGCTTCTTGTGCCGTGGCGGGCTCTGAAAGCAGAGCGCTTCAACACGCCTGAAGAGTGCTGCCAACCCCCCACCCAAAAAGCAATTTACAAGTGCCTGAAAGGTCATTATTCCGCCAGTCTGCAGAGAGAGAGAGAGAGAGCAATCGGCGTGACATCAGCTGGATGGGCGAGCGACATGCGTGTGACATGGCCATTGCATTCGCCGTGACTTCCCTGGTAGCCAGATATCAGAAGCTCCGGCTAAAAAACAGCAGAAATATATGTGCACATCGCTTGCAGTTTGTGACGGCCTGGTAGCGTGCCTTGCAGCCAGGCAAACGGAACTTCAGGTCTTCCGCAGGCAGCCCCGGCAGCCCTGTGCTTCTGTACTTTTGATGCTCTCTTCTTTTTCCTCTATGACGTCTGAGAAGGATAGTGCTCGGTGGTTAAGAAGCAGCAACTTGCGGCAAGATCGCGCATCGGCGAGAGAACCAGAGGGCTGTGCAGACTCTGTCCGATCGCAAATGGAGCTTCAGAGTTAGATTTCGGGCCACTGTAGACCCTTGACTTCTCTCAACCCCTCGGTTCCCTTCGCAGTAGGTTCAGCAATCATCTGGCTCCTGAACGCTACATTTCCATCCATCTAGCATAGACATCCAGTCCCGGCTTCTCTTCCAACAGTATCAACGATGTGGCAGTCGTACGATTAAAGACAGGCCCGAGGCCCGAGCTGAATCCAGGCAAATGGGACACCTCCAGTGCAGCCAGTGGAGCCAGTGCAGCAGGCAGCAAGCATGTAAACTTGGTCTATACTTGTGTTTCCATATTTGCATGTCGCCTCGAATGCTCGAGTGTTAACTGCATGCACGGCAGCCGTGTGGTCTCCTCTTGAGCTTCGGTTCTCTTGGGCCACCAAGCCCTGTTGAGATTGCATGCTTGTGAAGCTGCTTATGTTTTCATGCCCCAGAAAGATCGAGGATCATATGCACGCCTTGTTACATGACTCGCCACGAGGCCAACGGCATAGGCCCTGAGGCCACATGGTGGCACTAAGCATGCAGCGGCAGTCTCTGCAGCATGTTGCTGGGACAAATAGTCAAAGTGCAGGCGGTGAGTCAAGAATGGTAAATCTTTGGTCTGTAGTGATAAACTCAGCATGTGAACGAAGCTGTCTGTCGGCTCCGAGATACAGGCGCCAACCACACCTGCGCCAGAACCAGCGCCTGCACCCGCACCAGGGTCTTGGGTTGCACCTGCGCAAACGTCTTCTCCAACACCCGCGCCTGCTCCAGCACCTGCACCTGCACCGGCGCCTGCACCATGGGTTGTATCGACACCTGCGCCTGTGCCAGCGGCTGTGCCTGCACCAGCACCAGCGGCACCTGCCCCAGCACCTGCTCCTGCCCCAATGCCATGGGTTGCGTCCGCAACCGCACCGGCACCTGCGCCTGCACCAACCCCTGCACCTGTGGCGCCTGCGCAGACACCTGCACCCGGGCCAGCACATGCAGCACCGGCGCCTGCTCCTGCACCAGCACCTGCACCGGCAGCAGCACCCGTAACAACATCAGTGCCGACCCCTGCACCAGCGCCAGCTGCGACTGCAGCACCGCCTGCACCAGCGCCAGCGCCATCGCCGGCACCAGCTCCAGCACCTGCACAAGCGCCAGCGCCTGCTTCTGCACCTGGAGCATTCAAGGCTGTTCAGGTGCCGAGGCCACAAATTGAACAGAATCAGGCGACAGTTCCTTGCAAACTGAGGCAAAGAGCACATCTGACGCTGACGCCAAGGTGAGGTCACGGTGCATTTAACATAGGTTTCGACATGTCTTGATATTGCAGAAGGGAGTCGTGCCCGATGGCTTTGTGCTACGAGGCGTTGCAGATCTCTGTGCGTATGCATTGTTCCATTAACTTCGAGTCGGAGCTGTGAAGCGGGAACGCCGAACTTGAATTGGGGCCGCAATGCTTGGCCTTTTGAAGGCGAACATGCCGCAGAAGCCCAGCGAGGCGTTGATGGGAGACGAGCTGAAGGGAAGTCGCCATGTTCACATCGGTTGAAACAGAGGAGCCTGCAGCTCCGAGAGCAGGGTCAGCGCCTTCGCGAGCGCCAGTGCGGGTCCTAGCCCTGTTAGCGGATTCGACAGTCAGTCCCAAGGCCCCAAGCAAGCAGACCTCAGTTATCGGGGAGCCTTTGAGGAAGACGTGGCGGGTTGTGCTTTGTAACATCCATTGATGGTTCCGGCTGGCATGAACTAACAGTCTCCATGTGCTTTGCATGGGGCGAATTCCTGCATTGCCTCAGGACGTGCCGCGTGCAGAGGATTCTGAAGCAAACCGACCTCCTCCAGACTTGAAGGAGCTGAAAGTAAGGCGCTGCTCTCTCCGTCTGGGTTTACGGTATAGGGCTCCTGTGCAGCCTCCTGCATTGTTGCAGTCTTTGTCCAGACTGCCTTCAGCATCAGGTCCTGCAAGACCCTAAGGGGCTGAAGTCCAAAGCAAGCCCCGAAGGTTCATGGACGGCTCGAGCCTGCCAGTGCAGAGCCTTGCGGAATGCCGCGTCCTGGAAGATTTGGCTCCGGATGAGATCTCTTGCAGGCGGAGAAGTGCAAGATGAAGGCCCAACCAATCGTTGGCACGTTGCCGTGCGCCCTCAGGAAAGGAGCTACACTCTGCATTCTCCGGGCAGATGAGAAAGAATATCCCTGGGCCTACGGGCTGGAGCCGAGAGGCCGTAGACGGCGTAGACCGCAGACATCGCACACCCGGTGATGTCTAAGCACAGACCAAACAGGCCGGCTGACTGGCTGGTTCCGGTTGAGCAAGGTCCAGAAGCAGCTCGGCCCACATGACTTGATCGTGTCTGTGATGGTACTTGTAGCAGTGTCGTGTCTTGCCGCGGGAGTCTCGAATTCCTCGGCACTGAGGTTCACGGACTGCTGAGGGGCTCTTTCAGAGTTCTTGATTGCGCCTCGAAGTTGAAGACACCAAACGGGCATCCCAGCCCGTCGAAGCCTGCCTCGGCCGACGAAGCGCCACCGCGCCCTAGGCGACCCGAAATCCAATGTAGGTTTGAAGTGTTTAGGGTAGTTCTCTAAATTAGGGTCCTCTTTGAGGGTTCCTTAAACGGATCTACAAGCGTTTCTATGAGGGTATCATAAGGGACGGGTTGGAAGGAAGCTATGAAAATGTGAGTCAGCCTACATTCATCAACCAAGTATGCGTATGGCAGTAGCACAGAGTATGAGATGTGGATGTGCGGTATTGCATGATAGCAGCTTGACACCTTGCACAATGGCACTGTGGATGATATGCTTTCGGAGCGACGGAGCAAACGAAAGAAGTAGCCTGCTGCTAAGTTCATCCGTGGCTGAAGGTCGATGTGGTGTTCTATCAAAAAGCCCTAAAGTCCTAAACTAGGGTTTTCCCTAGGCCTTGCTGCGACTTCCTCCAGGAACTCAAACGGGTAGTGTACACAGAGGAGACATGGAGGAAGAGCTGCGCGAGGAAAAAACAACGCGGCCGATCCTGAGTCTTCGGGATCGGCGATTGGGGAGGCGACACCTTAGACATGGCGCTGAATTTAACATTATGCCAGCCAGAATGGCCGGCGCCTAGAGACAGCGATGTCACGGGCTTCTAGAAATGACGAGCGGCAGCAGCTGGGCAAGGGAACGCTCAACATCATTCAGCCAACACGCGTCACTTGCCTGCCACTGCCATGCTGGTAATTCGCAGCTGCAGAGCCGCTGCCTTTTCGCAGTGCCACGGGCTTGCGGGCAGGTACAGCTTCCAACCCGGCGAAGCCGTGCCCAACCAACCGGAGAAAAGCTTCCCCGCGGCCCCGACCTCAGTCCGAATCTCCAAACGCCCTGTGCGTCTGGTGTTTGGCCTTTAGAAGTCCGAGCCGCAAGCAGAGATGCCTTCAAGCAGGGCCTCCACGATAGTCAGGGGGTCTGCACGCATGTTCACAACTTGGTTTTGCTTCTGCAAAAGATCGCTCAAGGCGACAGAAGACCGAGCCCCAAAGCACTCCCGAGCTTAAGCCGTGAACGTCCGAATCCTCAGGTGAACACCGCGGAGGGTTGCGAGTGGAGCTCGGATGGGTCTCTCTTGGGTCTTGTCGACCCTGCTGGCGGCGTCACCGTGCAGCTCGGCAGCAGGGGAACTCTCCTCGAAGGATCTTACAGGACATTCGCGGATACTGCTGGCACACCCCACATGAGCCTGTACTGGAAGTGCACCTGCAGTCGCCCTGCTCGTTCGCTCTTCTTTCAATATTTAGCCTCAGGTACAGCGCCGCTCAGGGCTACGAGCCGGTGTGCCAGGCAGCGTCAGACTTTCTCGGTCCTGAAGCCATATGAGCTCATATGATGCTATGGTAGAGCTATGCATAGCTGTACCTATACCCGCTATAGGTGCCCCCGCTGGTGGGCGGCCCGGTGAGGCGAGCGTGTGCTGTGCATTTTGTCTAGTGTGGTTGGGGTGCTGGAAGGGTTTGGAGGCATGCCAATTTGAGGCTCTTCGCGTTAATCATGCTGAAACGGTGGAATTGGGTTCAGGGTGTTGCCGTACTGCCGCGGCAGCTTGGGAGTGACAGGAACTTTTACTTTTCCCCTTTGGGCACGCACCTGGTGACCTACGAGCGCTGGGTCAAGGCGGGAGCTGAGAACCTCCTGAAATCCTGCAGTCCACTGAACCTCACAAGGACGCCGGTGACAATGTGGGCGTCTGGGACGCGAAGACAGGCAGAGCCCCAGGGCATCCGATTCCCAGCCAGGCGCTACCAGACACCGCCTTGTGCCATGGCAGGCGAGAAGCGCTTCTCGTTCATTCTCAAGAACATGACCGCCGCTTGTCATGGGGAAGTCTGCAGCACAGCGAATTGCTGGGCCCGGCACATGACATGTCTCTGTGCCAGGGGATGACCTGGCCACCTCTGAAATGGACAAGTCTGGAGACGCACTGCTGCCGAATGGTGCAGGCCGTTCTCGACCTGCGACATAATCCCGACCCCTGGGCTCACAGGCCTCAAGCCCAAACTCAGCTCTCGAGCTGTCTCAGCCGATGCGACCTTTCGCAGAGGACGGCGTCCAGATCTTGCCAGGCTCCTGCGAGCGGTCGGAGGCGCGAAGTCCAAGCATGGGTGGTGCGGTGCGAGGGCTTCACCGGGAAATCCTGGTTTTCCGAAGAATGCCAGTCGTTGATGCCCAATCCCGGCAGAGGTCACGCGCATAGACGCGCCGGGGATCATGGCATTCGAGGCGTGCGGGTTGTGGAACTCAGACACCTCACCTCAGAAGTACTTGCGTACACACTGAGTGTCCGAGATCCAGATCGGATGAAATAAGATAGGAATGCACAGCATTCGTGGCTGAGAGGAAGAGCAGACAAACATGCGAAGCATCTAGGGAATTTACGGCTCTACAGACGAAGCCGGAATCCGATACAGATCCTGGGAGACCCTTCGGAAACGCGTGGGGATGTTTTTCGTCACCCCTTTGCGAGGTCTCACCGCGTGGATCCGGTCCCCAAGGCCGGGCCCTTCGGGACTTTGAGGGGTTTCGGGTTTTGGGCCCCCAAAGCGGTTTCAGAGGCAAGGGTTGAAGGACTTTGAGGGCTCAACTTGGGGTCGAGAGTCGTTGGAGGTGAAGAGGGTCCAAAGTTTAGTGTTCGGCCTCGAGCGGCTTCGCCGCTTAAGTCTTGCCCAGAAGTCTGTGGTTCTGGCAAGGTAGCGGATCTCCCCATGTGGCGCTAGTCGTGGCCGAGATGAAGGGCCAGCCCGCCAGATGCCAGGCGGCTAATCTTTGCTGTGCTACCCATTTCAGCCAAGTAAGAAGGCGAATCTCACCATGGGTGTGAAGCTATCCTTGTCTCGAGAAATTTTCCGGAACCCCGATGAAAGCGACCTAAACTCCGGATTCGATTCAAAAAACAAATCTTCAGTCCAATATGACAAAGGCCTCTCACCTTAGTCCTGTCTTTTGGATGCTGCGCGTGTCCTCCCGGCAGTCTTTGGGCGATTCGGTGGGGTCGGGCTCCTGTTTGTTGTTTTGCCTCAGTGTAGCAATGTATTACTGTATTGGAAGGATGACCATAGATCCGTCTTCCAAGAATTTTGTGTTTTCATGCGCCGCTTAGAGACAAAAGCTGCTTATGCCTGAGCCCTAAACCCTACAGCGCAAGCCCCAAGAAGGTCCAAAAGCGCACGGGCACCCCTGCCAGTCGCAGGTTTACAAGCTGGATGATCCCAGCAGAGCATCTCGGACGCACTAATTTTCGGTTGTAGGTACACACACACACACACACCAGACGTATGGAGATATACAACATGTTTATATAATATAGTACTTATTATATATACATTAATATATAAATGTATTTTTGTACACTTATATAAATATAGATACAATATGAATATAAATATATGGTCATCCCCCTTCCCGTGACAGATCACCACCCCCTTTAACATCTTCACGCAGAGATTAGATTGGTAGCTACGCTTGTACAGGACAAACGGGAGAAGTTCATAAGACATGTTCGGCGATCATCTCACATAAAGACTTGCCAAATGGATGGTTGAATTCTCCATTGAGGTTAAGTGCAAGCTGTGGGGCTTAAACAAGCCAGGGTTGAATAAATTGGTGACACAACGATAGGCTCGAGAAAATATTGAACTTTTGAAACCAATGAGAGTACCCAGCGATGTTTATATTGTCCCTGCGATGGTTTGTCGCCGGGGTGGGAGCACATATACATATGTATATATATATATATATATGTATGTATTCATGTACTAGACTAACGCTACATATATAGAAATACGCTGTGCTATCCTAATTCTGTGGTATATTGCACCATACCATACCATCTCTACTGTACTCTAACATACCATACTGTACTATACTATGCTATGGTCTGCTATGCTATACTCCGCTCTACTCTACTAGACTATATTACAACACAACAATATGCAATGAGATGTAACGCATTACAACGGCACACTAGGTGTTGGGTCCAAGACTTGAGCTTGAAGTTGACTCACGCGCCGATCGCTCCTTAAGTCCCACCGGGAGATCGGCCTAAGCTATCTTTCGGAGTTGCCGTGAACATGAGCACCTCAACCTAGCCGCCCGGGTACGAAATCAAGGCCACAACCACGAAGAACTTCTTCAAGGCCGAAGGGCCGAAGGGGATGTGAGTTCAGGGCCCTTTGTGCTGGAGCGTCGGGCCACAAGATGCAGAGTTACACCAAGATGCAAGGCATTCTCCGCATGTTTCTTAGGGGTTTTAGGGTTTACGGTCTTTGTGATAGGCCGAGTCAAAGACTCGCGAAAGTATGGCGCTAGAGAACCAGGCAGATCATGCAGACAATGTGTACAAAACTAGTTACGAGAGGCCCGCTGCCGACGCTCGGACTCCAGGCTATTGGATTTCAAGATCCCTGGGACATGAGAGGATCTCTTTTGAAGAGCGAATGACCTCTATGTGACACTTGCATGCAATTCCAGGCCCAAACGGTGTGCGCCTGAGCATTGCCGATGAATTTGGTCAGCTGGAATTTCGGGCTGAGATCCTTCAAGTTTCAACCGGACTTGAAATGGGGTAAGCAGGTCATGTGCAGTAGCAGTCCAGTCTGACTCGGCAGACTCGCTCATCACGCCTGATGTTTCGAATCGAGAACATCGTCTGGATGGTGCCAGACTGACAGTGTTGGCTCATGTTCGTTCTTTTGCTGCTCCGGTTTCATTGTCGTTGGAGATGCGGTTTTTCCGGGCAGCTTGCTTTTCATCTTCCCTTGCGCGGCTTATATCCACCAAGATCTATCGGTTCTGCACTTAACTTCGGTGATGTCATCTCAGCACGTCAAACCAGTTTGTCGTTCAGTTTGCCCATGCGTATGCCGACTGAGCCCAGCGGTTCGCCTTTAGCTCAGATGCTGGTTGTGTTACACAAGCTGGTCTTCCGGCGCAGATCATCTTCCCGTGCTTTCAGCACACTTCATTTCTCCGCTTGGAGGTTGTCGCAGTAGAAGCAACTGAAACTGTGAAAAAAAACTCTAAGCGGGTAAAGCAGTGGGGACTCAGGTCACCATGAAGTGGAACAACGTCGGCACGGCAGTGCTTGTGAAATCCGCCATGGAGGCCCTCTCACAGCCGCCTTTGGGATTTCCCCATGGATTGCAGCGATAGTCCGAACTTTCATAACCGATCTCTATGAGTCAAGATACTTGGACTTGTCTTACGTCCCGACGAAGCCTCTGTATCGGATCGGGTGAGGTAGCCGCCGGGCAGTTTGGCTAAGACCGAGCTCATCAACGGCGGCTTCCGTGTTGGTTTGCACTTGATTGCGCGTGGCACGACGCGTAATCAGCAGCCAATCAAAAACAGGTCGAGTTCAACTGCAGATTTAGCAAGTCTGGCCCGATGGCAACCAGCCTCCCTTTCTACTAATCGCTGGGGCTGATGGGTCTGACTGCGAGAGCAGACAACAGAACTCGCCCTTGATAGGGCTTGCAGGTACCTCCAAACGACGGTGGCTCAAGTCTACTGCAGTCAAGTTGTTCGAAGGTCGATGACACTGGGAAAAGCTACTACGGCGGTGCGAATCTCTACTTTCTGCGTGCAGACGGCGAAGAGGTTGGCCAACATACCCGGATGGCTTCAGGTTTGGCTTAGGGAGGTAGGGATCTCGGTTTCACTGGGGAACTTGCATGTTGAATAAATAGTATTTCTATCATTGACACTGCCAGCAAGCCTGGAGGCCTCGCAGATAGGTCCTCCACGCACTACATCTTGAAACATATTGGAAACAACACTGACGGGCAAAAGTCCGCTCGCGCAGCCCCTCCAAACTTGAAATGCGGATCCTTTCGCCAAAGCCTTCTGCTGCACGCTCAGTCGGCCCTTGTAGCGTCCGCTGACGGTGGTGCGATCCACGATGCGCAGTGGAGCCCAACTCAGGACCGTGCCCATGCCCTGCGGTCCGATAGTGTGCAGCGCCTGTCATTTCCAGCTCATCATCCGAAGAGCCGTTGACGGCATCAGCAGGACTTTCCTGAACACCTGCTGATTGTGTTTGTTGTTTGTGCCGGGGTACGAAATTGGCAGATTGCCCAAGGCAGTGGGAGAGTGGGCTGACACACATCAGCATGCTCCCAGCTGGTTTGTTTGTTGTCTCTTCTGTTCCACGCCGTGCCGACGCTCGGTCTGGCTAATTGTGATGATTCGGGACCCTTGGGTCAGTGTACATCGTCCGTGGAAAAAGCTTTCTTCAGCGTGTTCAACCTTTTGTCTTCGTCCTCTCCCACCAACAGGCATGGGGCTAGGTCCCTCACGCCTGAGTGCAACTGCAGGTCTGCAGCCCTATGCAGTTTCTGTGGAGCTTAGAAGCACGTCGTTGCTACACAGTCCAGGACGAGTTCATCCTTCTGCATGGAGAGCTTCCATGCCCGGCTGGACTCTACGAAGGCCGCAAGGTCTTCGCCCCTGGAATGTGGCTTCGGCTTCACGCCTTTTGAAGTTCGATTCTGCACTGAGAGCACGTTCCGACTCCTGTTTATTTATTATTCGCGAGTCTATCCATCCTTTCTCGTCCAAGATTGCTGAAAGGCTTGAAGTGCGATCCTGCCACCCACACAACCCAAAATGCACACAGCGCATCCAGATTTGCCAGGGTAACAAGCGCGTGGACTTTGGCAGTGGTCATCGCAATACCATCAGGCATGGAGCCAAGATGATTGACATGGCAGCTCTTTGGGGTTTGCCGACTTCGTCACGACGTGCTCCTAGCCAGGGAAGCTGAACCGATACGCATGTAGTTTGGGCTTTTCAGGTGGCGGTTACTGGATTCATTCATTAGCTCCACATTAGGCCCAAGTCCAAATGCCACGTTCGCCCTAGACGGATCCACGAGCGAGACTAGGCATGCTCTGTTGCACAATGACCAGTGGCCTTGTCTGTGACCCTCCTACGTGCTTGTGTTTCATCATGTGTTTGGAAGCCGGGGTGAAGGTGGAACCCTTTCGGCCGCTTCTTCGTTCTCGGTGGTTATGGGCAATTGCTGCTTGGCTCAAACCGACCGGTTTGGACAGACCACATCCGGGTGCATGAATGTCTGCAAAAAGTAAACTCCGCAGTATGGCTTCTTGAATTCTCCGACGTGTGAGAATGCCCGCTCACCACACACCAAGGCTTGGAGACACCGACTTCTGGGACAAGCCTGGGAAGCGCTTAGTCCAGATTTCAGGGTGTTGCGAGCCTCCATAGCCTCCTCCCCGGTCCTTTGCACTGAGGCAGCTGATGGCCAGCCGGCGGATGGAGCAGCATGCCCAGTAAACGGAGTTTAGACATTTTGGAGTCGAGGTGTGGCATCAGAGAGGTGCACCTATGAACTGGGGTAGACCATGCTCGAGCTACAGTTTCCAGAAAACGGATCGGCCTCGGGGTATCATGACTGTCGGCTCTGCAGTCGGATAAAGCTCGGAGATAGTTCATTTACTACCGATCGGCTGGCCACAGTGTCGAGGTGTTGTGTGGTATGTGGCTGGGCCCCAGATGGGCGCCACTTCCTCACCGCCACTACGGCGCCAAGGATGGGTCAAGGTTGACAATGGCAATGCGTGATCTTGGTGGCCTCACATGCTTCATGCGCATATCTTCCTAGCATGAGCTTAGCACGAAAGCAAAGCCTCAAAAGATAGAAAACGTAGAGGATGCGCGTGGACAACAAGATTGAGCTCTTCGACTACCTTGGTGCCCCACTTGGCAAGCTGGAGTTCGACGAGCTGCTCCTTGCAGGCACATGGCAAGGAAAAGAGAACCGGATGGAGAGAATCGTTGATGTCAACGTGCAGATATCGCTATCACATTGCTACATGGCACAGAAGATCGCAGAAGTAATGAAGCACATTCGGTTCAAGGCGTCGATGTTTGTGTCACGCTGAGTCATAATCGGTTGTGAGCGTCATGAGGAATTTGAGTCGGGCTCAGCGGGAGGGAACCGAGCTGCAGCCAGCATCGGCGCCAACCCACCTCCCACCTTGAAAGCAGCATCCCAGCAGTTCTCAGAAACCTCTCACAGCCGACATGCATGCCGTTTCATGTATATATGCAGGTATGCAACTGTATGCATGCACATATGTAATATATATATATATATATATGTACACACACACATATATAGATATAGATATAGATATAGATATAGATATAGATATAGATATAGATATAGATATAGATATAGATAGTAAATTTGTATTGCCCTAGACTCGCAAACTTTTTGTTAGTGTCACTTGCATCTCCATGGCCAGGCTGGCGGCCACGACCGCGAGGAGCCTTCCAGGTGCCTCCCTCAACATCCCTTTGGGATCCTTATAATGAGGATCCTACTATTGAGGGTACTATATTAGGGTCCCCTATTTTCTGAAACCCCTAAATCCCGCGTTTCGGCTTCATCTTTGCCAGGACCGGGCACCCAGTCCGGGCCGAAGTGCCCCGGCCTCCCAGGCTGCCGCGGCCTCGCGGCTTTCTTCTCCGAGGGTCTCTGAGGTTTGTTCAAGCAAGAAAAAGAGAAGGGTGGGAAAACACAAGGTAGGTGTGGGGGCGATTGGCGAGCCAGGGTGTTCATGTTATGCACGCCACCAAATGGATCCAAATGGTACGTAGGCTTTAGGATAAGGCGGGGGCGGGGTCTGGAGTCCCGCAGGCCAAGGCAGCGGCGAAGCCAAAGGCAGCCCAGGCCTACAGGCCGGCGCATCTGCAACAAAGCAGCGTATCTTTCCCTGGACCCATGTCCGGATCGCAGGCGAAGACGACTCCCCCCAAAACAGCGTCAAAGTTGTGCGTGGTTTTAGCACTTCTAAACGCTGGAAAGCTCTGCTTCAGACCGCCCGGCGCTCGGGCTGGTGGCGGCCTTGCCGACCTTCTGCGAAAGGCCAGCCATGTCCTGTGCTGCATTCTGCTGCTTTCAACCGCAAGCGCAGATCCGAAATAGACCGTTTTGATTTGCCCATTCCTCGTCAGAGTGAAGGACCTCGGCAAGCCACTTTGTCGATGCCCTGCCTCCCCTACGCCTCTGAGTGCTCCTGTGAGGAGCTGGGCTCCACGTCGGCCGATGCAGCCACAACTGCCACAAAGGCACGCCGAGCACTCTGCGCAAGTAACAGAAGACGGGCTGAAATCGGGCCTGGAGGTGTTGGAAAGACCCGACACAGTGTAGAGTGGCCGTCGCATCCAGCAAGTGTTGCAGGATTCTCTTTGTTGCCTGATTTTGGGTGTCGACAAGGTGGGTGCTCCGACGGCTGCGCCAATCTCCTTGCCTCCAGGAGCCTCTGCGGAGGACTTCCAGAAGGCAGCGCCCTGTTCAAGTGCAAAACACTGATTCCGAGGTTTCCGGCAACATCGTAGAATGGATGCCTACAACAGTCATTGTCAGATATCATCAGACCACTTTCCAAGTCATCAGCTTTGCGGAGCTGGAGCCACGTAGACAGAGTTTTCCTTGCTTTGGCTTGCGCCCGCCCCGCAGGGTAACCAAGGAGGCACCGGCAGCGGGAGCAGCCGCAACGCAAGGAAGAAGAAGGCCACCGCGCCTTCAGCGATGAACAATGAGCAGGGTATCCCTTCCTTAGGCCTCTAGATGCTTCCGTTGCGCTTTCCCTGTCCACCAAGCGGGAACGCAAGATGTCCGGTTCTGGAAGTGTGAGTTGAAGATGCTGCAGGAGCACATGCCACTACCTAGCATGGCCCAGGGTTGTTTAGCTTCTTTGAAAGCCAGCCTTCGCAGCTGGCATCAATAGCATTGTGCGATAGCACTGCCGCCCTGCCACACGCTTCGAGATATCACCGACAGTCCTGGCCTCCCAACCCTTTGCTCAATCTTGAATTGCAAGTCTGCTTCCCTCCCTGCCCGGAACTCGAAGCTGCAATGCACTTTTGAGCTCGGAGTGCTCAGATCTATTAAGCTCCCAGCCCTAGGGGTAATACTTAAGAAGTGCACGAAGGCGAAAGAGGCTGCCGCCCAGGCCGCGCAGTGGGAAGCAACTGCAAGAAGATGTCAAGATGCAATACCCTCGAGTTTTCGTAAAGTGTTTCGCTCACTTGCAGAGTGTTCCATGCTGCAGAGTCAGAACAATCTTGCTTCGTTAGCGCCTGCTTTCTGGAAGGTGCTTGAGACTTGGTTCTGGAATGAACAGATCAGCTTTCCAGGCATTATACTCCATCTTCTCCATCTTCAGACCTCCGAGCAAGACCATGTAAGGTGATCGCCAGATCCTGCGGTGAGCATCGCGCCGATTGTGCAGACCAAACATGTGCAGTTAAAGTGTATGCAAACTGCGATTGTGGCAAAGGCCCGAGCATGTAGCATGCAGGCAGCACCCGAGCCCGATGTGGAGAAGTTCGTGCCACCTCCCCGGACAGGTGCCTGCTTTGAACGGTTGCGATGCTTTGTGTCAGTAAGACTCCGTAGCAGCAGCAAGCAGCAGTGCGCTTCTCCCACCAGCTGAAGTCGAAAGGACAGTGACGCTATACTCCGCACAGACAAGCACGAGTAGCAACTGTACATAACTGTACTTTCGCTTGGGGGCCACAGCTTGCTGTGTGGATTCCGATACATTCGTTTTCGGTGGAAGCTTGGGCCATACAGGTTGTCTCGAACCTCGGCTTTTTGAACCTTCAAAGCATGAAGGTTCCCCTCCCGTGGCTGCTGGCCAGTGCTCTTCCAGAAGAGTCCCTGGAGCAGGCGACGCAAAGCCGGCGCCATCAGCGTGCACGGCGGCGGAGTCTCAGGAAGCCGTCGGAGGCAAGCGATTCCCTCAAGAAGAGCCCCGTAGTGGTGAAAGTTCCTGTTGACGAACATGCCTTCCATTCTGGAGTTGAAGAGCGGAGTAGCTGAGTAGCAGATTCGAGCATGGCCTCGTGACTTGCCCTCCAAACTCGCAGTGCTGATCTTTCGCAGCATTCAGGGTTCCCAACGATATCGGCACCCAAGGATGATCTCATGCTTTTGACCTTGTGTATCAGCATCGTTGCCCGTCACGCAGCAATAAGCTCAGAGCCGTCATTTCTGTGAGTTTCTGCGCTGCTGCACCTGTGTGAACCTGACGCCTCATAGCGGTGTGAGTCAGAGCAGCTTTGCAACACATCCGATGCCCTTCACAACCTACATCAATCTACCACCCATGACATCAAGACTCACCAAACGATTCGTGATGTGGACAGGTGACGAGGTGGAGAAGAAGGTCCGCGCGCTGAGGTGTCCTGGCGCGACCTGACAAGCTGGGGTTCAAGACCTGGTGTGTTGTCCCCAGGAAGAAGCTGCGGGACATCGAGAAGCTAAAGGAGAAAGTCGGCTCCTCGCGTGAAGTCGTACGTCTCCGGCAGTGCCTTTCGGTGTCTGGAGGTTGCCACTGGAGCTCCCATAGACCCGCTGCAGAAGCAGAAGCTCGACGGAGAGGCCGAACTCATCCAGCAGCGCCTTGGATGATCCCTTCCTGGAGCCGCAGCCTTCGTCATTTTAATTTTGACCTTGTGGAAAGTCTGTTGCATCTCACACTCAGGATTCGATCACTCGGAGCTGAGCCGTGACAGGGCAGCACGCCACTGTGAAGCCGGAGGAATGCGGCCTCGACCAAGCACAAAGTTGTTCGTGTTAAGCTATCTTGCGAGGGTGCGGTTTCCAAAGTTCCTTCGGGTCATTGTTTGTTGTGGACGCCAGATCCCATTCTCCTGGTTCTCGCACAAGTTGCTATCAGCCTGCGCTGCATGGAAAAGGCATCGCATGTCGGAAGTTCAATTCGTAGCTGCGGCAGCGGTTCACTTCGGTAAAGGGTTTTAGCACTTACAAGAATTTCCCGAGCTGCCTAAGGCCAAGATCATCCGCAGCCGCTCTCGGCTACAGCATCTGGACCTCAGGCTCAGATTTGCTGAAAGGCTTCTGGCCTGGGAGTTCCAGGTGGTTTTCCCAGCGGCTCCGAGGAGCAGACTGAATCCGATGAGTTTGTCGAGAAGCCAGGAAGGTAGGAGCAGTCGCGAGACGCCGAATCTGCAGGCACAACCGCATCGGTGACGTTGGCAGCAAGCGCCTGTCCAAAGCCATCAAGGTGGAAACCCGAGAGCATCCGTGAGGCCTAGGCATAGACTCAATGAAGGGGCTCTGTCTCGACTCTCGCATCACCTCCGTTCATGTGTTCAACGAAGCTGCAGAAGGGAGCCAGCTCCTGTTGTTGCGGAGCCCAGGGCCATCCTTCGTTGGTGCAGCTGGATCTGCAGGACCGAAATCGAGAATGCAAGTAATTGCAGTCGCCCGAAAAGGCGCAGGCGAAGTCTCGAACGCTGTGCGACCTGGCCTGACCCGGATTTCAGCTTCTTGCACTGGCAGGACAATGCCGTGGCAATTGCTGGTGCAGAGAGCTTGTTTGCTGCATGCGGGAAGAGGCCAGGAACCAGTCATTCTGAACGGGAGAGACCATTGAAACCATTGCAGAATCAACTATCCTCTGCTTTTAGGAAGTCCGTGGGCAGGCTCGAGTTGAACATGCAGAACAACCCCGTGCCTCCGGAGAAGATCACCCAGCTTGGGGCATCCTTGAAGGAGGCCACGGAGCATTCTTTGACAGCAGAAGTGGTTGTGAGGATGTAGCAGAGGCCGAGAGGTCAAGAGCCAGATAAGAAGAGCCATTCTGATCACAATCGTTCCAGAATCAAGCTCACAAGTAGAAGCTTCTTGTCCCAGCTTAGATGTCTTTCGCCAATCGGCACCAGGCACTCCGCCCCGTCAGGCGAGGGAGAAGCTCCACCTCATGGCTTTCGGTGGTGGAACTCCAGGCAAGGTGTGCAACTTGACACGGCATTTGGAAGCCAAGAGCCGGTGAGTCTCTTCAAGGAAGGTCGACGATGTTCCATACCCTGGCTTTTTGTGTGTTTCCGAGCGGCAACTTCCCTACGAGATGCACGGGTGTACTGCATAGACTGCACGGAACTTCTGGAGGTTCTGCGAAGGGGACTTTGCGGCCGCCGCGGTCCCGCGAGGGCCGGGAGGGCGGTGGGAGGAGCCCGGCGAGGAGCCCAGCCCAAAGCACCGCACGGAGCCCAGCGCTGAGCGCCGCTCAAAGCCCAACGAGGAGCAGGCCAGGAGGGGGGACTTTCGATTGTGGCACCAGGCCGCTTATAACCTCCGAACACTGTCCTGTCTGCACTGTTCCAGGGCTTCCTCGTTCTTACCGGGGATATCGAAAGAGGAGATTGGCTGAGCAAGTTCGCCGTTGTATCTGATAGATTGGTCAGCCCCCAAGGGGTTCAGTTTAGTCTCGTTTTGGCTTCGGAGCCTGCTGAAAGAGCACATGTCAAGGCATGCTCTACGAACCGTCTACCTAAAGTTGTGGCGGGTCGTACACACCACAATGAAGCCTGTGACTGTCCGGTATGTCAGCATGCCCGAGATCTGCGGTTGGCAAGGTGATGCCTAATTCCCAGCAGACTCCGCAGTCGTCGTAGCCATATTGCGCCCAGACTGACAAGTGCCAAGCACTGTTCAGTGAGTGCATGTACTAGCATATCGTGATCCTGGAGGTTCACTATGCCAGAGCCTCTCAAGCTAAGTATGCGTACTTGGCGGCATGTGCAACTTTCTGTGCCTGTGAACCTCCGGATCGAATTCCGGCGGCAGTTTGGCTGCCCATGGTTATCAAGATGCGGTAAGCAACGCCGTTTGAGGCTGCGTTTGCTGCACGCGACGATGTTCCCCAGCCAGTGTTCGGCAAGCGCCAAGAGGCGCCTTCGTTTGTCCTTCAGAAACTGTCCAAGGGCATCACTCGGGGTTGAAACCTACTCGTACCAGCATTGTTTTTTGGTTTCCGCTCTGTTGCAACTGAAACTCAGCAGACTTTTCCATACCTTTCCTTGCAGGACAAGATGGGCCTCACAAGTGGCAATGAGTGGAACTCAACCGCCCCATCATTGGGCTTTTATTTCATGCAGGCCCATCTGAAGACCTGCGCACATGGCCTTCCAGCCCAAACGAAATCTGGCTGCACATGCGAATCAGCCATTGAGAAGCCGGCCTCCCAGCCAGAAGATGAAAAGGCACACCGAGTGAGGCTTGCATTATAGAACTTAGGATTCGTCGGGTGAAAAGGACGAGCTTCATTCAAGAGGAGAAGCGCGTTTGTCAGTCGAGGGAAAGGGTTTTTTCTGCGAATCGGGCCTGCTGGCAGTTTGTGGGCTCTGGCTCAGGCTGAAGGTAGGCAGAGATATGGCCGAGGTTTGCAGATTACACTAGACATGTAACACATGTTGCACGGGAGGCAGTGCCAAAGAGAGTGAGAGATGTTGGAAGCTGAAATCTGAAGAACCCACATCGGCTACTGACTTTGCAGCTTGTGCAATGCTCGGGCCATGGTTCCTGGGGCCAGCTTTTGACCAGGTGCCTTTGCAACGGAAGTTTTTCGGCAGGCAGTCTCGGCTTGGGGTGAAGCTCGAAGCCGTCGGATGTGCTCAGGTGCATTCTGGTCACAAGGCACGAGCTGGATTTACTTGAGTCAGCCGGAAGCCTCGCCAGGAATCCCGAGTGTCCACCGTAGGCCGCACGAAAGCCCTTTCTCTTGCATGGGAAGCCGTCGTGGCTCGAGTAAGAGTCCTGAGACCACAACGGTCACACATCTATGATTCGGCCGACGCGGGGCCGGGGAGTTCTTCTGATAGGCCTGCTGCTTATTTGCCCGGGCATCTCCTTCATGCTGCCTTCACAGACTTGTACATCCTTGGGTCGGCGAGCCCTCTTGCTTGGACCGCTGCTCCTCTTTCCGCAAGCAGCCTTCGCCGCTCGAGACGGCTTCACGGAGACGTCCTCGGGTCTGCAGTACAAGGTGCTCCAGGAAGGCTCCGGCGAGAGCCCGAGGACCGGCCAGATGATCGCAGCAGACTACACGGGCTGGTTGGAGGATTTCGAGTCCGAGAAGAAGTTTGATTCTTCACGGGACAGGAGGCAACCTTTGAAGTTTCAGGTCGGCATTGGCAAAGTCATCAAGGGCTGGGACGAGACTCTGCTGGATATGAAAGTTGGCGAACGCCGCCAAATCATTGTGCCACCTGGGCTCGGTTATGGAAACCGAGCCATTGGCCCTATCCCAGCCGGCTCCACGCTGTACTTCGACGTGGAATTGAAGTCTGTCGGTGGGCGATGAGATGGTCCGATAAAAGTGGCAAGCCGAGATGTTTTCCGCCCTACAGGATCTTGTCCATGTTTTGTTCAGACGGTTCCGTGGCGCTACATGAAAGGCTGCAAAACAAGAATCTGTCTGTTCTCTGTTCTTGCTGTTCCAAGAATGCGTAGTCTTTAGTCTTCAGTACAGCATGCTTGTTACAGTCTCCAGCATTACTCACTCACAGAGTTTACCACAGATGACCATCGCATTGGATGCGCAGGCCCGGGCCAGAGCGACCACGCCGGTCAGGGCCAAGACCGGCTCCAATGGTGCTGAAGTTCTCCCATGTAAGCCGAAGTACGGCCTGGAACTCGGCAGGGGGGGGAAAGTGGCAGGAATCTAAGAGAAATCCAGCAGAAGCCCCACTCCAAGTCATAGTGATAGCCTGTCGCCTCGCCGCGATCATGGTAGTCCTCATCCTCTCGTCGTCGTCTTCACCATTGTGAGGATGGTCCTGAATCTGCGGACGGTGTGCCAGCTGCAGCTTAGGTTCGAGATGCTACGAAGACCCACATTTTGTCGCTGCCCCGAGAACGGTTTAGCTGAAGGAGATGACAGAGAGCACAGCTCTGAGGCCAGAGCTTGAGTTCGGAATCCTCAAGCCGCTCGGTTTGGGTTTCGGGGAGGGGTGGGAGTTGCCCTGGCATGGGGCCATGAGCTCCGCCTCCGCACAGGGAGTTTGCCGCCGACCTCAAGCTGGGACCGCAGGCCCAGACTCCCAGACTTTGTCAGAGCTTGCAACGAGCTGTGCAGCGTCAGGAGCGGAGATTTCTGATGGACATGTTCATCGACAACCTCCTAGCCGTCGAGGAGCATATGAAGCTAGAGGTGCCCACAACTTGTTTACGCCGTGCCGGACCTTGCATCGGACAAGACTTGTCGACCCCTTCATGCGACGCAGTCCCAGATGATGCTGTAACTTACCAGTTGCGATTTCTGCCGGATGCCGCTGTCGCCAGGTCACGGTCCGATCGCTGTGTCATTCTCGAGGCCAGCAAAGAATCGACAAGCGATTCAACTGCTGCTTGCGGCGGCTGCACTTTGCCCGTGCGGTTGCTGCCACTGCTCCTGTTGGTGCTTATTGCTGGTGCTGCCACTGCCTGCTCTGCGATACCTACCTGCGTGCCACTATCCTCCTTTTCTCCCTGCGCTCTCCTACCACCACTGCCCCTACTTGTCAATGTTGTTGGACGTACAACTAGCACTAGCACCAGGCCACCACCACCACCACCACCAC